ACAGTCCACCATTAACATTGGTCCTTCGATCGGCAAAATTAACGAAGACGAAGAAAGACGAAAGAAAACAATCAAGACGGCCACGGCGAAGACATCGCGACATTAGTGAGTCCGTTCCATAATCCTTTCTTTGTACTTCCGTCCTATTACCTACTTTGTGCGATACACATATTTCATTATCTTTCTTATTTTATAACTATTAGCCAGCGCGCGCGCAGTTGTAAACCGTGTCGCGACCTTTGTTCTCAAACTTTTTTTCGAAATACCGAGCGCAACTCACTTTTTTTTTCATTATCTATTTTCTATACATTAAAATTAAAACTTAAATCTATATACAAATTAACTTAAATCTATTGCAAATTCCTTATTTTTTTTGAACACCTACATACATCTACATTTTATTTTTGTCAATTTCAGGCGGACTTGTTTGAAGAAAAACAAAAAGAATATTAGAAAAACAAAAGCTATTGAAAACTTCAAACTTTTCAATTTGCTTTTAATTATTAATTTTAAGCAAAGAATAGAGCACTTTGAAATTAGTGAAGTAGCTTAATTTAAAATATTTTGCTTTTTACAAATTTTATTTAATTTATAATTTAACTATTACTAAATACTGCATTATAATTAAAATAACGCCTTTATAGTTTATCACTTTACTAGTATATTTATTTGAATTAACGCTGTATTTAGTTTGTTTTTATTACAAAATTATGGAACTAGTTACATGTGCGTGGTTTCAAAGACGTTACGTGGTGTATATTAATATTTATTGATGTTGCAAATTAGAGTCACAAAATTAAATGTATCATACTATATTTAAATTAACACTAAAGGATAAAAAAACACAATATAACACATATATTTTATTGCAAAAAACAATACATACGAAAGTAAAAAAAAATGAAATAGAAACAAAACTTTTTCAAACTAAATACGATTTTTAAAAATGATCTTTTAAATCAGTAACGGTAACCACATCCGCAACCTCCGGCACACCTTCCGGTGATGGTAACAGTACCACCGGCTGGTACACGACCACCGAACTCAACAGCACCGACGATCGGCACTTGACCAGCAACCTCGGTGGTACCAGCGACCATCATATCACCAGCCACACCCACATTACCTACACCCTCTCCACCATATGCTTCACCACAACCGAGACCACCGTACCCGAGACCGCCATAGCCAAGACCGCCGTAGCCAAGACCGCCGTAGCCGAGACCAGCATAACCGAGACCGCCATACCCCAGACCAAGACCAGCCCCACAACCGCATCCACGGCCTAGTACTGGCGCTGCGCCAAGACAAGCGCTATAAGCATTCTGTAAAAAAATATGTGATTTAAAAGTCTAAGCATGAATATTACATTAACATTAATTAATAAATCAGCAACTTTACATGTAAAAATATATTTGAAATTGATTCGATAAATATACCATGGAAATAATAAAAAAAAATTAAAATATAATAATAAAATTACCTGAACCAAGAGAACTTGGATGCAGACGAAAACAAAAGTGAGGGGAGACATGTTTGTAAAGCTCAGAAAGACGTTTCCGATATAATGTTCAGTTCGCAGCTTCCTCTATTTATACTTGTTATATTCAATACAAACTATTTTATCTTTACAGCCTATTGTTTAGATTTAGGGACCCTTATTAAATCTTTAATAAACAATTTGTTTGGGTTACTTGATTTTATTCATTTTTGTTTCATAATAATTTTGCAAATTATTACATTTTTGACCTACTTATATGGAATATTTTTTTAGTATTTTTCTACTATTTCGTTAATTTTTATACTATTTTGCACTCCTAATGAACTTTTACAAATGTTTATAATTTTTTTAGGTCAAATCTATCTATACAATGAAAAAATTTAGGAGTCTGTTTATAATATCAAAAGAATAATTCCAGATTTTAGGCAATGATTCAATTTTTTTTGTCTGTTTATCCGCAAGCCGCGTTCCTGCCGGGTAATCTCCGAAACGGCTGGGCTGATTCCGACCGGACTTTCACTGAATGGTAGCTGACATAGACGGGCATATTATGGGCTACCTTTTTATCTTAATATTGCGTTAACAAAGTCGCGGGCAACAGCTAATTTTAAATAATATTCGTACAAAACACTTTAATACTACGGAAGACATTGAGATAACTCTTTTACTTGTTTGTAGCAAATCTCGTAGCATCTTCGTAACAGACTCTGTAGCACTTATCGCAAATTTATTTTCATGTTTTTGCCTGTAAAAGCTTGTTTATTTTACGAGAAGAAGTAGAAAAAGAAAAATAAAATAATTTGAAAAGATCGAAAAGAACCATTTTCTAAATTAAAACCCTGATTTTGTTTTGTTTTTAAATTACAGAACCATAGAAGATCCTAATAATAAAAAAAAACATTTTACTTGTATTTCACAATCATATTGTGTTGAAATAAGAGACATTAATATTTGTAAGTCAAGGTTAGTTTTGAAACATTTCAATTGTTTTATAAATTGATTAAATTCATTGTTTTAATAAAAAGGAAGTCTAGAAATATCGAATGTAAAGACATGCAATTCAATTATTTAACTGCATCCATCTTGGATAAATGTTATGACTATGCTTTTAAAAAGACTACAAACTTTTTTACATGAAGAGAGCAAGAGAATAGAAAGAATAGCATTGATCGAGCATGTTGTTAAGTAATGTTAAATATCACAATAGATTACAAGATCACATATCGGCAGATACGAGTTTAATAGCTTGAATTTCAATAGACTATGAAAATCAAAACATTCTTTGTAACCTTCACAATCTTTCAAGACTTTAAAAATGAAAGGAACATGTGCTACTCTTATCATGTCCTTTTATTTCGTAGGTTTGGCAGAGTATATAGTAGTAATAGTAGGGGCTACAGTTTCCGCAACTCCACGGCTAGCGCGTATTTTGCGTGAGGAACAGGACGTGGATTACTCTCTATACATCTCAATCAAATCTAAAATAATGTATATTGGAGATAATATTCTACAGTAACATGTTCAAGTCCCTTTTTTAAGCATCACAATTAAAATAGTGTCTTTACTCAGGTGGCTACAGATAAGAAAAAAATGTGCCATGTCACGTACATATTTGCCGTGTTTACGTCTCTGCATGTATTGTTTTCTTATCCGGTTGATATTTAAGGTTTTTTTTCTAATTTGTACAAATCTGCTTCCTATAAAAGCTTCGTCGTTCATTTTTAGGATCATTCTAGATTCGATTCTCAAACGAAAATGGCAATAAAAGGGTACCCGTTTAGTATTCTACAAATTGTTCTCATTATCGAGGTAAATTATTGAATAGTTTAACAAAATAGCCACAAACACGACTGAGGTTTTAATTAAACTAAATTTTTAATTTTTATCTCAATAGATGGCGCTAGTAGTAATAGTTTGTGCATTGAATTTATTATTACATTCTTTTATTCATAGTTATATCACGTTTTAAGAAATTTGAAATGTATTATTTTATATTATAATTGGTATTGGTAATTAATAAGGATATAAAATCATTATTTTTATCAGAATTACCGTTTTAGGCAATTGCTGCATATCCATGCAGTCCATGTGCTGACCTGCTAATGGTTGAAGAAGTGCCAAGTGCTTATGGGGGTGAGTTCATCGTCACCACTGGATCTCCTGTACCACCAACTGGATTAACAGTATTATCAGAGAACAGATTCGAGGGTACATTAGCTGTGGAAGGAGTGTTACCGTTTGTGGGAACTGTCGGTCTTGAAGGTGAATTACCGACAGCAGGTCGAGGGACTGTTGCTTATGGATGTGGTAATGGTAATATCGGAATGGTGGAAGAGGTTGCTATTGGAAACACGAGACGTGTTGGTAGTCGAGGTTTTGGTTGCCGAATTTAAGAAAATATCAAATAAAAACATTTTAATATAATTCTGGTAATTTAATTTTGTATAAAATATATTGAAGTTGGTATTGACTTAAAGATTAAAGTCTATGTTTAAGTTTAATAATCTAAAAGAGTACAGTAGATAATAAGCACCATTAAGCCATATTTAAGTTTTTGTTATATGTGAATGTAAGCAAAACCCGGCAGCGAATCTTGTTAATTTTTTTTCAGAGGCAGCACGGATTTAAATCTGGTTTTGTTCAAATAAAATTATTCTTGTTCATATAAAATTCATTGGATGAAATAAAGATTGGTATTTTTATCATTTTTAACGATAAAATCTTAACCGTTACAACATATTACGTTTACAATCTATAGTTACTTCAATGTTTAATATTTTCTTACGTCCTATCACGTATGGTCTTTAATATTATGTAATACATTTAATCTGTTAGATATAAAACATAAAACATGCTTCATACGATCACTTTAATTTGTGATTCCTTTGAATTAGTAAATTATTTTATCAATAAGTAATTTTACAATCATGACAAGAGTTGTGTTGATCTGTTTCCTGGCTTCTATTATTCAGGTAAGATTCACTCTAAACTATAATATATTAATAGTAATATCAAAAAAATATTCTCCAGAAGTTTCCATAATTTCTCTATTCTTGAAATACTCAATACAAAACAAAATCTCAGAGAAAGTCTTCCATGAGTGAATAAACTAGATATTATCTTTAATTATTCCAAATTAAATTGAGCTTATGCCAAACAAAAAGACACATCTAAACTGCCTACTACAGTTAACCTACCCATTAACTATATTAAAATAAGTAATAAATAAAATGTTTTTATTGTAGTCACCAACAAATGAGAAAACATAGTTTTATTGGCTAAGTAAAAACCGCAAATCGACAATAAGCTGCTATTTATAGAATTAAACCAAATTATCGTTTTCATTTTCAGGTATCTCTTTGCCAAGTAATTGGTAACTCTCCTTATTATGCTAACATGAACGGTTATGGACTACAAAACACGCCGATCGCAAACACAATAGCGTCCAGTCCTATAAATGGAATGCCAGTATCAATGGCTCCAATAGCTAACGCTCCAATGTATGCTACAATACCAAGTGAAACTATCAGTACAGCAACAGCTGCTATGAATGCAGCTAATGCGATTACTGCTGGAGTGACTGGCTTAGAAGGATTCTCTCTAGGAGGTATACCGATGTCCGGTGTGTCACCAATGGGTTATGGTGACGTGACTGTACTAGGGGAATTACCAGTTGGTGGATCGACAGGGGTGACTGGGAATGTACCTGTGATAGGATATGTCACTTTCGAGGGAACTGTACCCGCGGGAGGTACAGTCACGCTAGCAAGTAACTGCGGATGTTCGAACCCAGCTGTTTTTTAAGTATTTTTTGTGAGCACGTTGTTATTTTGAAGGAGGCTGGTGGTTTTCTTAATTTACTTTTGACAAAATTTTTGTAAAGTCGATAGAAGATTGCTTTATTTTGTGTGATTTGATTTAATATTGAAAAAAACTGTAAATTAACTCTATTTTGTAAGAGTGTAAAGTCTTATTTTCGTACTCTAATTTATGACATGATATTAAATTTACAGCCTCTTAAAGATAAGAAACGCTTGAAGTTATGTTTACAACTATACTGTACATTCAAATAAAATATAATTTATTCTAAAAATGACCTTTTTTTAATTTGACCCAACCTGCAAACTCAATTTTCAGAGTTTGCAGTTTTCTCAATTCTCAATTTGATGACTGATATGATGGATGATAGAGTTATTTTGAGGACAAAAAACCCGGTGCGCCGACCCTACGGGACTAGGACAAGGCAGGGGAAATGATGATGCAAACACAAATTTCTGTCTGAGATAGAAATTACTCTGTGATAATAACTAGCAAAACAACAACATGGTTAATCGCATTTAGGCAACATTTGCAATACGTAAAATAACATACAAATAAAATCTACACTGGATTATAAAAGAAAAGTGGTCGTAGTTAAATGTTTATTTTTGGACAATTTCTATCCATTATCGTTCGTTTTTCAAAGAGAGCAATTCAATTTGTTTTATAATAAAAGGGGGCAAATGAACGACGAGAACACCGAGGTGGTCAGTGACGCCCAGAGATCAGCAACACCAGAGCACTATGGATTCGTTGCCGGCCTTTTTTAATAACCTCATCATTGACCGTCAATATTACCATGCAACATAAATTATTTTAGTTACTTTTACATGTTGTTAGTCTCTACTTATCATAACATTAACACAGATATTCCAATACTAAACTAAATACTCTTCGTGTTTTGATTGATCCTTTTAGCAGTTACATCCCAAATTTAGTATTTCTATCAAGTATGGCACTTATACTCAAGAGAGATCACCATTTTCAGAAATTTGCTACAAAGTATATGGAGATATATATTTCTTCATGAAGTACCTAGAAGTTTTAACTAATAGTTAAATAATCTAAAGAAGACCGCTTGCTAACTAAACTTACTAAAAATACCAAAATAGCCGCTTTAGAACTCAAAGTGAGGTAAAACAAAAATAATCGGCTTCATGTCTTAACATTTCATTAGGTCTATGTTTGAGTTATCGCCAAGTACGTGATTTCTATCTACAGTAAATACTAAAATTTCAATTATTATTAAATAACATGGAGTTGGTAACTTAATAATAATGTATATTGCGATAGAAAGGCAATGTCTTTAAAAGTGTATATTATGACACTATGTAGACAATTGTAAGTAGGGAACATATTGAAAACTTAAAACAATAAACCTGCCGAACTCAATAAGGAATTTTAGAGAAACAAAATGGATATTAAGGATAAAAACATGACTTTCATTTTGAATTTCAATATTTATTTGAAAAAGACAGATTTATATCCTAAACATTTAAATTAATCTAATGCTAATAAATAAATAAATATTACAATTTTTAGCTACATTTCAAATTACAATAAGGTACTAGGATTTGCACAACTATAACTAACAGATGCCATTCCATCTGTCGGTATATTTCCGTTTATGCCCACCATACCGTAAATAGGTATTTTACCATTAACAACTACTGTTCCACCAACTTCCAAAGCATCTGCCAATACTTGGACACCAATCCCTTGGGTGCCAGGCGAACCGCTTGTAACCGTAAATCCATTACCACTATTTCCTAAATAAAATGTAGCCATATTTCCATTTAAAACAGGTGATAAATTACTTAGTTGCTTTGCTTCTTCAAGATTCGTTAAAACATCGTTAATACTAGCAACATTTTCAGCAGCCAGAAGAGCATTAGCTGTTTTAACAGCGTTAACATTAGCTGTGTTTGCAGGTGAATTTGCTTGAGCAGCGATACCAGCTGCAAGTTCCATATTAGCTAAATTTGTATTAGCATTGACTGCATTGGCTACATTTGGATTTGACATATAACTTCCAGCCATTTGATTATAGGCATATCCATTAGCTGGACTAGATTGTTGTAGACCAAGGCCTGCCATAGGCCCATTTCCTATAAGGGCTGGTAGGGATGAACCTGCCCCTATTCCACTGCCACCAGTCATTGGATAAGGGACCATTTGCGTTGAGATAACCTGTAAAAGATAAGATAAATTAGTTAAAGCGCAGAGAAAATTTTATAACCTAAAAATGTTTATGGAAGTTGGATAAATTTTTGCGGCAGCAGATAGAAGCCGCATTGTATAGTACAAAGTTATATTCTGTTTTCTTATTTTAATATCTTGGTAATGATAATTTTTAAACATTATTAACTTACTTTTACTAAAGTGAAAACTAATATACAAAATATGTGCTTCATCTTGATTGTGACGATAAATGAGTATATGTCTTAAAAATGTTTCTTTACTTATATACCATATTAATCTTTTATCTTTCTTGTAGTTTTATCAAATTCTGTTACGTGATCATTTAATAATTTACTTTGATGAATGTACTGATTAAGTATTACATGGTAATTAAGCTTGCCTAATTATTGCACAATGATGACCAATAATATTTTGTTTCACAACAAAGGTATCATCAACGTATAATCTTTTCTGAATGAAAAAGAAATATCTCGTATTGAATCTGTCTGATCTGAAGGCATTTGTTTCAGCGAATACCGTATTATGATATACGAGCTGTCTCCCGCGACTTCGTCCGCGTGGCATTAGAAAACATACGAACTATATAAATAACAAAAAGCTACGTATCTCTCGGGAACCGGACACCTCGGGTGCGAAGCTTATCCCATGTATACTCCAGACTATGTTTTATATCTGTGCTAAATTTCAGTAAGATATGTTGAACCGTTGCAGAATGATCGAGTAAACATTAAAAAACTAAATTAATGAATCCCACGGGAACCGTAAGTTATACTGGGATAAAAAGTAGCCTATGTGTTCTTCCAGACTATGCTCTAAACCTGTGCCAAATTTCATGGAGATCCGTTCAGCCGTTTAGGCTACAAACGCTAACAAACATCCATCCATCCATCCATCTAAACTTTCGCATTTATAATATTAGTAAGAAGTAAGATGACTCTTTCTTTTAAGATTTGGTTAGATTCATAATTATTAGATATTTCTATCTGGACTTTTGCCACCAGAAAGGCCTATAAGAAAATACTCTCCCTTGTAACTTGATTAACTTAGTTTGTGTAGATAAAGCTTGAACTTTTTATACTTTTATCTACGCTTTGTTTATACGAAACATAATTCTATTCTATTGTACTAGTAATTGATAAACAGTAATTAAGTTTAGATGTTTATTTAGTTTTCCATATTATTCATTGCTCAAGATGTTCACAATAATTGTAATACCGCAACATCCTCCGGGTGTACGTAATTGTCAACATTTTCGCAGAAGAGAGCTACAAATATTTATGCAAAATGTATTAAATCCATAAAGCCTCGAAAATTTTTATTTATATCAATGATTTAAAAAAAAAACAAGCGTGTTTCTTCAAATATTTTTAAAAGCAACAAAATATCCGAGGACACATAAAAAAGAAAGTTAATTTTTGTTACGTTCAAAATATATTTGTGAATATAAAAATCTGATACTTTAGATTGCATATTATCATAAATAACAAAGCAGCTAATAATTTTAAAATCTGTCTACATAAAGTCCACATTTCCGCTAAGGTAGTTTTAGAATCTGGCCATAATCGTAACTTTACCGTAAGCGGGCACTTCACCATCGAAGGTAACATTACCTTCCATCGGTACCGTACCTTCAAGTAAAGCTTCTCCAATCACAGACAAATCATCACCACAAGCTTCAATGTTCCCATATCCTAATGGCATATCATCCGAAGCGTAGATATTGGGTAATAGGGGATATGGAAAGTAGTAATTCGGCATCATAGGAGTTCCAATGGACTGTCCCAGACCAAACGCTGGTAGCATTGGTCGTGCTGAAAAAACAAGTCGATCTAAGCAAATCGGAAAATCATAGAAAAAAAACCTTGTACTTACACTGAACATCCTAACTTTGCAAATATTTTTTAAGTGGTGTCGAATCATAATTAAAGCCTCTTACTAAAGCGAGATGTAAACATCTTTTATCACTTACTGGCAGTTGTTCGCGACTTCGTCTCCGTGAAATAAAAAATAATAATAAACCTTATAGCCTTAATTACTCAGTAATAATGTAGATTTTTAATAGTGAAAGAACTTTTGACATCAGCTCAGTAATTTTTGAGTTATTTCAATACAAAAAAAAATCCAAACATACAAATCTATTTTCTTTATAATATTAGTATAGATATATATTTATTTGTCCCGGACATCTCTTCTAACCTTTTATTTTAGGCAATCAACACTGAATACTGCTGTAGGAATAAATCTATTCTATCATAAAGTTCTAAAAATACTGACATAAAACAGTGTTGACATCCTTAAAAAATCATTCAAAACTTAATACTTGTATACTTACATGTTCCAACGATAGTAACAGTGCCCGAGGCGCGCACTGGTCCTTCAAACACCACGTTGCCGCTCATCGGTACATTTCCTTCCACTTCAGTAACTCCGTCAAAGACAACATCGTCCCCGGTCACAATAATTTCACCTTCTGGTATTATTTCTATATCTTCACAAAACCCGAATACATCCTAAGACCCAATTATTACACGGATAACATTAATTTTAATAAAAAAAGGACTGTTAACAAAGCCAAAGTTACGTAAGGCTTTTGTTTTATGTATTCAAACGTATAAACAATTGAATATATGAGTTATTTTATTTTTTTTACTAACTTTCGCCTAATGTAACCTAACGCCTAACATCTATGCTCCATAAAAACTTTCGCAATTATAATATTAGTAAGATTACTTACAGAAAGACTCAGAAATAATTTAATTTACGTGACAAGTAATGCACCATAACACGCATTATTCTATTTCCTATTTTTTTATTAAACCATAAAACAATAATTGCCATTAAAAATACCATCTCAACATGATATTTACAAAGGGGGTAAAAAGAATGATGAGAACATGTTTAAAAAAAATATACAAACTCACCCTTAATAATATTATTTGCACAAAAACGCATAAAAACCTATTTAAACGCATTTCTCACTCAATTTGTACAACACACACA